ATGTGTTTTTGTTTTTCTTGACCTGGTTGTCGTCCAATGTAAGGAAAAGCATTCAATACACAATACGACTCTGCATCAACACATAGCCAGAACTTTAATCCGTATTTGTCAGGCTTCTTAGGAATAAATTGAGGAAATGGACATTTTTCCCGAAAACCTAATAATTGTTTGTCGATGGTAAGATCAAGTCCTGGTGTATAACATGTTTTTAATTTACCTTGAAAATCTGACCAAATTTCACGAATCGCTGCAAATTTATCTGCTTGTTTTCTCTCTTCTCTTGTTCTTTTATCATCAAATCTTAGACACGACATAATTTTGTCAAAACGGCTTTTTGAAATAGTAGCTTTGAATATTGGACATTCCAAAGGACTTGTTCTCCATAAGGATCGTAAATTTCCTTTTGATCTTCCTAATAAACCAGCAAGCAATAATAGTCCAATGAAAGCTTTCAATTCCATCATTGTTATTTCTTCTTTTTCATCTAATCCGGTGTTTCGATCATATTCCATATTTGAATAAATCAAAATTTTCTGCATGATTTTTTCCGATATAAGACAAATGAATGCGTCTTCAATAGATGCAATATTTTCAGTAGACTTGGTTGGTCCAGATTTTTCGATATTATCACTGAAAGATTTTATTTTTGACGAAGTAGACGGAATTGAAGACCAGATCATCCCGGACTTGGAAGTATATGAGCTTTTTCGTGTAGAATCTTCGGTTAATTTAAGATCTTCTAAATCAATTTCATCATCAGCGTCTGATGTTTGACTTTCATCATTTTCTGTTTCTGAACCACTTTGTTCGTCGTTAAAATCGTCAGATTCGCTATCCTCTTCAATCCAATTGTTCATGATCGTTTTTTATAATACAAAAAGAAATCTTAATCTAGAAAATTAAAAAAATGAAGAGATACTAGATGATAGATGAATATCTTCGATCCAAAATCTAATCGAATGAACCATATATCATTCTAATTGGATAGTCCAAAACCCAATCAATAAATACTTCTAAGTAGATTGGAGATAAATATACAGTTAAAATGGTGCATGAGTCTTGAATTTTAATTGAAAATTTAACTTGTTCTCTTGTCTAGTTTTATGTTAAATACTGATGAAATTGTAATTAATTGTATTGAAGGCTTGTAGTGAGATGGAATAGGATAAATCAGTTTCATTTTAGACTACGCAACAGCTATCTATTCATAATAGATGATAAAGAATTCCTTAAACCCGAAATTACCAAAATATTATAGTGTATTTCCAAATTTTTATGTCTGGGTCAGAAATGACGCATGTTGGGCGTAGTAGGGTTAATAATCTTTACAATCGGAACTATTCAATAATTGGATTATAATAAATGAATCAGTTTCAATGAAAATACAAGTAAATGCAAACGCATAAAGTATGTCACATTTGCTCATAATCTCAATTTAAAATTCTTCTCAATTCACAACTAATTCTGAAACCATGTACAAATTGATGACTTTATCTGCATTGTCTCCTGTAGTAACAAGAAAACATAAATGTTTTAAGAACAACATTCAGATATCCTCATCAGTAACAACTAAAACATCGGCTTCAACTACATGTTCTTTCATGAAACTTACAGCATTATCGACAATACAAATTGTAAAGATAAGTTTAACATATCTGATCTATACGTGGTTATTATTTTATTTAAAGCAGCTATTTTCTATACAGTGATGATCAGTCTATACTCCTATTCCTAATAATGGTTCATCAATGTTTATGATCACCTTTTCTACGAGCTATCTCTTGTTTTCTGAACAAAAACAAAAAAAATGAAGAGATAAAATGTTTAGTCTCAATATTTATTAATGGTTTATGATTGTTGAATTTTCTATCAAATAAATATTTGTCATTAGTAGAGAAATGATCTGTTGCTAACAAGTCTAATAATATTATTGAAATAATCAACAATTTGCCCATTTAATTTCATCCAAACAACTTCGATAACCTCACTTTATCGAAGTTGTAACTTCGATGAAATAATTTATAGAAGTTATAACTTCGATGAAATATGTTTATCGAGGTTACAACTTCGATAAAATTGTTCATCGAAGTTATAACTTCGTAAACATGCTAACTTCGATACGACATATATATCTGATAATGGAACAACTGCTTTCCGAATTTTTTCGACTTTTGGTAAAAACATTTCGATTTCTACGTTTTCGCTCTAGCAACTCTGGTTTAGTACGAGAAGAATTCCATAATAGTCTATAAAAATTGAAATACGTCAAAGATATCAAATCTCGTTAAACTCGATAACTTTTTTCTAACGGTTTTATTCGACTAATAAACAAGCAGAAAAAAATTTCTGAAAATCTGTTGTATCGAACAATCAAATAATGCTTGTAGAAAAACCATACATAGATTTTTTTTAAGCATATAACTAGTAAAATCTTGAAAAAATATCAAGCCTGTTGATACTTAATCATTTTATGATGTTTTTTTTGCAAATATAGTTTTTGCGATAATAACATTGTTCAAGTCTATTAACAACAGAATATTTTCACAAGTAATTTAACAGACTCTATAATTTTTTTTTAACTACTAAAATATATTCCATTGAACAATTATCTTACTTGAATAATATTGTAAAATTAATATTAATTTTTATTCGATTTCTCTTATATTCCATTCCAATTAAATACTAATTATATATGTTAATATTTTGTTCTTTATAACAATATTGTCATCTAATACATACTCATTTTTATTAATATTAAAATGTTTCCGAATTTGGTATAGTATTAATTCATATTTTTGTTTTAATAGTTGTATTGAATAATAAATCAAGTAATGGACTATTAATCATATGTTGATGATGAAAATAATAATAATGAAGAAATCTGACGATGTTGTTGTTTAATTATTAGTTAAATTAATTGTACACATGAATTTATCAACATTATTCATCAAACATAAAATTCTCCAAATCACTAAAAACATTATTATATATACATTTTTAAATCTTTTTTCTTTATTGATTAATACGTACTTGTACATGAATAACAAATTGTTGATCTTGATGTGTGTAGAATAGATATGTCGATATAAATAAATTTTTATTCAAAAGAAGAATATATCTTGTTTCATTCTTTTCTGTTGTAATAAATCCACCTAACAAAGAAAGATTTTTTCAAACTTCTGTAATGCATTATTTTGATCTAAAATTTTGTTGATATTTAGATATGTTCATCCAAAAAGAATATTATTGTAAAAATTTAAGTATTTAAAAACTTTCATTGTTTTGTTTTTTTCGACAGTCTATGAAATTGAATCAACTTTTTTAACATTAAGTATGTCTACTTAAGTAATAGTTCGTTTGATGTAATATAATTTGTATTTTATTATAACAAATAAAATAATTATACATAAATGTTGTTATTGAGTATCATTAATAAAAATAAACAAAACAATTTCATTTTCATTCCAAATGAGATACAATCTAAAAAAATTCAAAAATAAATCATTATATATGTTAATGTTAACAAGAGAGAAAAGAAAGAAAAAAGAAATATGTGTGACGAGGGGAATTTTCTTTTTTCTTTTTGTCTTTCTCTCGTCCATAAATCATTGTTCATGTTGTTATCATTGACGATGAATGATCAACATGTACGATTAAATATGTATATCATTTTCGACGAGAGAAAAAATGATTTTTCAAGGTATATATGCGAATGATTTTCTATGTAAAATCATTCAAATTTTTGAATCAAATAATAATCATTTTTCTTTTTCTGTTTTAGATTGGCCTCGATGATACAAAATTACTCAAATCAAGATTAAGCCATACAATAAAAAAAAATGTAGGTATCAGTTGTACTTTTTTTTAATTTTTTTTTATTTTACGATCATAAGGATGGTGGGGTAAGGCCTCCTTTGATCTTTTTATTATTTTTTTTTAATTTTAGGCAATAAACAATGAAGAAAAAGATAACATTAGGGTAAGTCATCTCATTCTATTTCATTAAATAACATTGATTAAATTTTTTTTTCTGTTCCTTTCAGCTATCAATATCATCGTGTCATCAACATCAGACACGGTAAATAATTTTTTTTTTTTGAGATGAGAATAGATAGTGAGATTGAGAGGTTAGG